TTCCGCCTTTTGTCATAAATTTTCACCATTTAACTGAAATAAAGTTATGCCTTGGATATATATTTACATCAAATGGCAGGCATTTTGGTAGTTATCATTAGCCCTTTTGTTGACTTTAGACTTCACAGAGGGGAAGGAACATCAAAGTGAAAAGAAGTCGAGGGGGGGGGAACAGAAGAGTGTTTCAAAGATGTAAAAGAGACAGACACAAAGGCAGAGAAAAGGCTAGATTAGTACTGTGGAAGGGGTCGAATATGACATACAGTTGGGTCATGGTAGTTTGAAGTGAGAAGTCAACTGCCAGTTAATAGACTTTTTTGCCGTATGAGCATACGTTGCCCAGGGTGCACCACGTGGAGGTAAGTCTATCGCACACCCCATGCCTTGGATTTGAAATTGTGCTAAAAATGACCTTAAATTTTTAATCTTTGAAAAAAACCAGATTAAATGCAAGCGATTGTATATATTACTCAGATAAACGGCGTTGATATTGAGGCTGACGATAAAAATATGACATTAAATAGTGAAAGTAGATCGTGGAAGTTCGTCCTGTTTCCTTAACTTCTGAAGAACTAATGGATTCAGGCTCTAGAATAGGTGATTTTAATGAAACTATTGACTCATAATCATTGAAAAATTGCGCAAAATTTGCTCATTAATTCAAGTAACGATTCGGTATATTCTGCTTCTGAAACAGGGTTCCTGGATTAAGCACATACGACGCCTTACGAACTCGCAGAGTAACTTATGCAGAGCTTTTGGACCCGGTTTCAAAATTCAAGGTCCTTTCAGATAGCCTATCTCTATTCATTATTTTGGAATAAATTTAAACAATAAACAAAGTCATTCTTTGAAACCGTTTAATTTAATTGATCATTTTATTAAATACAATGAGCTCCTATGCAATGGTGAACCGCCAGTTCCCATTGTCATGGGAGATATGAAAGAAGATGTCCAAATTTGAAGTCTGACTCGAAATCAATGAAACATGAATGTTTTCCAAAATGTAAGGCTAGTTCAGAGAAGTAGAATAGTTGAGGGACAAAAACCTAAATTCAGAAAGTCTAATGTCAGCAAAAATAACAAAATGATCTCTTATGAGATGTGTGCTATCTGGTCTAGTGATTTTTCAGAGTTTCTTAGTGTATTGTGTACTTTCTGCTACATGTCACACACTAATTGCCAGTTGCATAATAAGAAACACGAAATCTGCTAATAGTAACTAACCCGTATCTTATTCTGTTTACTCTTCACGACCTGAATTGGCCTCAATCAATACTGACGTCTGTTTCTTTTCGTCAAAATTTAGGACTTCAGTCGGTTCTTGGAAATTCTTTTAATAAGTTAGCAACCTAAAGTTTGATTAGAGCTCTCAGTGATGGCTGAAATAATCCATATTTATTAATAGTTAAGCTATTGTTGACTTGGAACAAAATAACGGGTATTCGATACTAAACATAAAATAAATATATGTATATTTGTAATCGGAAATGATTAGCAATAAATTTGGCGTGAAATTATGCGTGGGATTTATCACTTTTGCCCAATTAGAACGCTCCTTTATGACAATTGGTTAAGCATTAATTTAATTTAATTGGTTGAACACAGATTAAAATACGCAAGAAATTCACCAATTTAGCAATTTGGTTATGAAATTTGGCCAAATATGCTATCAGCATTACTAACCTCCCTCCTTCTTGTCATTCTGGCTGACGGTCGACCAGCCGTGTTTAAGAGGAGCCGAAGCTTTCAGGAAATCCTCTCGGATCCCGAATTTATGCAGTGGTTGAATACCAAATTCCCAAATATTGCCTACTTCCTGTCCGCTCGAAATCAGGAGCCTTCCACCGAGACTGTGCGGGAAATTTTTAGATTCATGGCAGAATTAAATAACTATTACGCTATCTATGGACGAGCGAGGTAGTCACGCGATTTCATTGTGCTTTCAATATTATTCATAAAAATCATATTTTTTTATTAATTTTTATTTGTGGGAGATAATTGGAGCCAGTTAAGTGAAATTTAAAAAAAAATACCAAAGAGTAGGTGTTAAAAGAAAGATTCTAGGAGGGAAAGATATTTTTGCATTTCCATTAAACCTGTTTAATGCTTGCCAAATTGATTAGTGCCCATTTCAAAATTTGAATTTCTTGAGTCATCAACCCCAAAGCTGGGAACATGGTTGTTATTGATGGTTTAGTGCTCATTCATCAGGTGAGCTTCATTAAAATGGTTTGTCAGTTTTCCTCTAAAAGCGAAATACTTTTGCTCCATGCTAAACAGCTCAAAATTATAATTCAATAATAATAATAATAATAATGCAATACTAGTTTATTTACTTGCTTTCTAACCCTAATATTTTTTATTCTTTTTATTGTTAATAAAATAAAGCAATTTCATTGAAAGCAGCATTTTATTAGTTCTTTATGGCATTTAATTAAGTAATTAATAATTAATTGATTAATTTATCTTTTAGATTTGGCTAAGACCTTCGATAAATTGGAAAGCTGTGCTTTTAATTTGAAAATAAAATCAATATTTATATTTATTTGCGTTTTAAATTGTTTCCAATTGTGCTAACTTTTCTGCAATTGAATTGCCTCGCCCTTACTTATATTGTGATTACTTGGGACTGCTTCGGTTGCTATTCAAATCCCACCAAACTTGAAGCAAAGATCAAAGCTATCCATAATCGAAGAGATATCACATATGGGATCACATTTCCTCAATATTTTTTTTGACGGGGGATTCTGAAGGAGAAGAGCCAGTTGGGG